GGTTTGCAAATAGAAAGCTGTTTATTGAAAAAAAAAAAACAAAGGAGCATTATGGCACGTGAAAAATTATTAGTTCGCTATTCGTCATTGAACTTAAAAATTAAAATTGTGTTTTTAATTTCCGCGCATTGTTTGAGAAAAGTACTATATAAGCCTTAGCCACAACTAGGCATCGATGGACTCACGTATGTGTGCCTTGGCTGCGCCATTTGCAAATTCGTCCATCAATGTCTCAGTTGCTGGCCGCTGCAGTAATGTACTATTTATATAGTAATTATTATAATTATAAAGTGACGTATCATAAGAATCTGTAACAGATGTATATGAATAAAGATGATTGATCATTTTTCCAATCAACTTAAAAAAAAAATATTCTCGATTTGGTAGTATGTTTTTTTTTTTAATGTTCGTTATTTCATAAATCTGTCAGTTGTAAATCGATTTGCAAAATTCTTTTTTTTTTTTTATCTAAAAGGATACACTGGATATACTTGATACTGAATGAAATTTTTTGAGAACAATCATTACTGATTGGTTTAGCAGTTTAGTTTTTAAATTAATATAACTAGTTCTGGCATAATTGAAGTCGGCTTTTTTTAGCATTAAACACAATTTCAGTTTTATTTAAAGGCTTTTAAGTTAGGATATGTCATCTCCAATTTATACAACTTAGAATGGCAAACAAGGTGACGGCCCACCTGATGGAAAGTGGTAACCATCGCCTATAGACATGAGCCGTACCATGTACATAACAGAGTATACTGTTTCGCCCATGATACCCCCCATGCGTTGCCATTCCTGAGGACTCAGATGTTATTCCTCTGTACCCTGTAAATTCACGCCATATTCCACCCTTCAAACCGAAACACAGCCATGAAAACACAACTGCTTCACGGTAGAAACACGAATGGGACAGAGGTACCCAAGCGATCGCCTTTTGTACAAAGTCTCCCTCTGGTAAAATTATTATAATTATTATTATAATGGGTATCTGCGAGTATAAATGAACAATATTAACTACCAACACAATTACAAAGTGATGCCAGCGTCGGTAACAAACTTCTCACCCACTTTCTTTTTAATTACAATCCGTGAAGCTCGAATGACCATATTTATGGTTCATGATCGCATTATTATGCTTCTGTTACAATCTACATTTGAACATATAATTGCAGATAAAGTAAATTTATGGTTTTGTTAAATATATAATCACTTTTTTTAGAGTTATACGAAAGAGATATTTCCAATGGGTATTTCTTGTTTTCTTATCTATTGGAAAATGTGAAATATCTATATTTTTCTCAAGAATTTTTGCAGTATTATTAATATTTCTTCTCTTGACTCCTTATTATAAATCCAATGTAAAGTAAATATTGAGTTATTATAAACACCTTGTGTGTCAATAGAAATAAACTATTGTGCCTAAATTTACCTCAGTAATGTCTAGAATAAATGTATGTATTACCAGAGGGAGACTTTGTACAAAAGTCGATTGCTTGGGTACCTCTGTCCCATTCGTGTTTCAACCCTGAAGCAGTTGTGTTTGCATGGCTGTGTTTCGGTTTGAAGGGTGGGATATGGCGTGAATTTACTGGATACAGAAGAATAACACCTGAGTCCTCAGGAATGGTAACGCATGGGGGGTATCATGGGCGAAACAGTATATACACTCTGTTATGTCCATGGTGCTGCTCATGTCTATAGGCGACGGTTACCACTTTCCATCAGGTGGACCGTCAGCTTGTTTGCCATTCTAAGTTGTATAAAAAGAAACCGCGTAACTTATCAGATGGACCGGTCGTATGTTTTTGGCATAAATATATAATTTGTCGTATAAATAAAAAGTACGCCGAAAAATAGAGGTGACGCTAAATTAATACTACCATAATATTTGCATACGAATATATTTCTGCGCAAATGACAAATACTAATCATTTTGTTTATATTTATTATTTTAAACACTCCATACCTTTTGAATTGTTTGTTTATATAGTGAGATGCGTATTTGTAATGTCGCTGTATTACACATGTCATCGTCTTTATATCAGCCGTGTTTTCTCCACTGCTGACATAGGCCTCCCCTATAGACTGCTATAAGGAACAGTCCTGAGCCACCTGCATTCACTGACTACCTGCAATGCATTTGAAGTCCAACACTGCTTTTGCCCGTACGGGGACACATATATAACCAATTTCTCCCGGATAAAGGGATTGTTAGCAATGGAGTTTGACAGCCCCATTGTTAGCAATATGCCTTATTAGGTCGACCTCTACGTGGTTCCCCCTGAAAACCATCGTGAACAATTCTTATTGAATTCGTCACGATGGGCTAACTGACCTGCTTCATCGTCACCTGTCATCCTTCACTGGTGCTCCGCCGGTGTATACCGATAGCGCGGGTGGGGTTACCATTCCATTATTCTCTTTCACTACACTGGGTTGGCTGGAATATATATATATACACATCAACTTTAAAAAACCACTTATGGTGCATATTGTACAAATAAATTTCAATAGGTGTATAATATAAATTGACGAACTAACGGGTCATTACACTTTCTTTACGATCACTTACGTCAGTAACACTTTCCCTGGCAGATTTTTTTTCTTTCATTTACACGGATTAAGTATTACGTGAATTGGTAATTTAAACTGTGATTAATTTAGCACGGTACTTTACTTGTGTATCCTATTAATTATTTCATAGTAATGTAATATTTCGTAACAATAAACTGTGTCACCACTCCTTTTTATCGCCAAGAAATCGTAAGAGGTAGGCGTAATATGGATACCGATCTGATATATATATATATATATATAATATATATATAATATATATATATTAATGGGTGATAATGGAATGGTAACCCCGCCTGTTCTAACGATATACACCGGCGGATGAAGCAGGTCAGTTAGCCCATCGTGACGAATTCGACAAGAATTGTTCACGATGGTTTCCAGGAGGAACCAGGCATATTGCTAGGGCATACTGCTAGCAATGGGGCTGTCCAACTCCATGTTAGGTTCCTCTGGATAAGTAAAATAGCATATAAATTTGATTATTTAATCTCTCACTGATCTCAAATATAAGTCTTACCAAGTCTCAAAAAAAGAAAGGGGTTCAAATAAAAAAGAAAAAACTCACATAATTGGTGTCGAGGTTCTTGACATAACTACGATCGTACCATGTAATTAAATAACAAAATTTAAACTTGAACTGTGCAATCTTGATCTGCCGTAACAAATTAGTACGAAAACAATATTAGCATAACGTGAATTATATAAAACGGGGACTAGGTTTTCTCATAACCTTAATAACGTAGATAAGTGAGACAATACAGTTATAATCTTCAATGAGACATAATTGATATAATTTTTGATGTTAAGGTGACACTCAGTGTATTGTTATGCGAGGTAATTGTGTATTATGATTGCTGTAAATAACATTGGTATTGTTATACAAATTATATAAAATTATGAAAAAACGTTTCACAAATTAATTAATTTATTGAATAAAAAAAAATCTATTTAGTTTTGTTTGTAGTACATTATATTCTTTATTGCACTTGTAAATTACATTGTTAATATATTTATAAATATTGTGAGCAATGGTGGACTTATCTCTGACAGAGATCTCTTCCTGTCACCCCAATGCAGTTAGAAAGCATGTTGTTAGCGGGCAGCTGAAGTGCTGCAACTATTAATATTTAGAGTACATAAACAAATATACAGTTAAATAAAATATTAAGATACATAATAAAATATTACATAAATACATATACTATGAATAAACATAATACCTACCTACTTATACAATAGATGTTAAAATAAATGAATATACTACCTACAATAGAAATTTAGTTTAAATTATAAAAACGTTTCGCAAATTAATTAGTTAATAAAATTAAAAAAAAAAAATCCATTTAGTATTGTTTGTAGTATATTAATTACAAAGACTTTGACAGTCTATAGGAAGACGAGAAGTCTTTCCATAGACTGTCCTTAGTTATGAAAAGCTCAGCAGTGGACAAGTTCATTATTTCAGCCGTTAACTGTCCACTGCTTAACATAAGTCTTCCCCTTGGGAGGTTTTGCCAGTAGTTGCTACACTTGGCAGATGGTTTGGCAATCGCAGTAAGGTCTTTAGTGATGTTTTAAGAGGGACGTATGTATATATATAATATTGTATCATCTGTTAACTGACCACTATTGAATATAAGCCTCCCCCTTAGTGGGATTTGCCAGTAGTTGCCACGCTTGGCAGGTGGATTGGCAACCAGGCAAAACGGGTCAACTTTTTTCATACAATTTGACGTGATAAATAGTTATGAGTGATTCCTTTATAATTTCTATATTTATTTTGTTTTATAATTTCTGCATCTTTTTATTGCTCATACATTCTCAAATAATTAATTAAATAATACGTCAATACACATTGTATCCGTAAGTATATAGAACACTGATAAAAAACGAGTCAGATAATTTGACAATTAGCTGACAAAAAGTTGACCCGTTTTTGAGACTCGATGCTGTATTTATATATTCTAAGACACAACCGTATAAAAATATTAATAAAAATAGAACGGTTACTGTAGTCTCTGGATGCCTGCACTATGGACAATTAAAAAAAAAAACACAAAAAAATAGACATTAAAAAAACACTATGTTTTTTTAATAAAATGGTATGGTGATAATAAAATGGTAACATCGCCTGCGCTAACGGTATACGCTGGAGAGATACCAGTGAGGGATAATAGGTGAGAATGAAAGGGTAGGTCAGTTAGCTCTTGTGATGAATACACCTGGAATTCAGCACAATGGTTTCCAGGGGGACAACGTGGTGGTCGACCTGTTTGGGTATATTGCTAGCAATGGGACTAGTCCGCAATACTAACAATACCTTCTCTATCCCCCTGCCCATAATACTAGGGGTAGCCGACTCTGAAGAAAATAAAAATTCATAAACAGCGATATTTACTTGACACCGTTTTACATTCCAGGTGAGATCGATGTTTGGCAATGACGCAAACATAACGTCAGATTTAATGTTACCAATATTATTAGACATGGCTAATCTGATTAGACGCGCTGTCAGTCCGGGCAAGCAGTTGAGAGAAATCAAACAACCACTGTTACCACAAGCGCAAATGTTGAGACGCTCTTTCACAGAAGACATGCTAGACGAAGAATCGTTCGAAGTAGGATACGAGGAGGCGACACGCACAACAACTAGACCACCGTTCATTCAGAGAATTAGAAACCGCAGGATCATACCACAGAGAAGTCAGACAAAAAACACAGCAGACAATCTTACAGATAAGACTAACATAAAAGACACTAAAATGATTAGTGATACAGAAATTACAAACACAACACTAAAATCAGACGATGTAAGTATAAATGACATTACTGCAATTAATAATTCAATCAACCAATCACTTCTATAAATAAATCAATCAATTCTGTCAATTTATATCTTCTATTAATCAATCAATCAATCCTATCTTTCTATCAATCCACACAACCAATCAAATGTTCATAACAAACTATACTTCGAGTACTAAACAATCAAGTACTAAACTTTCTGTTCACTCAAAACGGATATGATGTTACATCAAGTGGGCCTTATGCTTGTTTGCAACCATTGTAGTATATAAAAAGTTAAGCGAATTTTTTTTTTACAACGCATGGGGCAAAGGAGCATGCGGCTCACCTGATGGTAAGTGACTACCGTCGCCCATGATCACCCATAACACCAGCGGCATAGCAGGTGTGCTGCTGGCCTTTTAAAAAGGAATATACTCTTTTCTTGAAGGTTATGTTGTCGTATCGGTTTGGAAATACTGCTGCTAGAAGTTGATTCCAAAGAATGGTTGTGCGTGGAAGAATATCACGTCTTACATACAACATAGTGTATATTTCTACTTTTTTTAAATCTCTGTCTTGTCTGTCTCTGTCTTCACACCACGTCCTTTACAAGGCATGCAAAGAGTGTTGAGGGCCAAAAGCCTCTATTCTTACAAATGATCCTAATTCATTTACTTTTCTTACACATATATACACAACGGTTCTAAAGATTGTTTATTCTTTCTTCAGCTGACACACGGTCAATGGAATAATGACAGATTAGTCTAGACTTGTGTCTTGCTAATTCTAGCAATATATCTATGTGTGATAAGGATTTAAAATATTATATCCTTAATTACACATTGACGAATGACATGTTTATTTTTATTTATTTATCTATTTTTGTACATGTACTTTCAATATAAATATTAGGTCATAACAAAAATGTACACAGACGGACTTGTCCCTTAAAGGGGTTTTTTCTAGTCAACCTTAAAACCCTAGGTAACTATAGGGTTTGTATATAAACACTAACGTATATCTATGTCTGGTTTTTGACATAATTTTGTTATGGAAACATTTCCAGTATGTGGCACGTCTAGTGATTTTAAAACGAATATAGTTTTATATCTGTGTTGCAGTTGTTATGGTAACTAAATAATTATGGTTACTGATATTTATATGAAATAGATTATTTAACGCTAATTATCTTTATTCTCTTTAATAAATTTCACTCATACGAGAATAAAAAAGGTTGATCCCTTTCTAGCGATGCATTCGTAGAGAGACACTTCATCTAGATGATATTAATCTAAGACAACGCGATACGTTGCAACCGTAACGTGTATAGATTACGCAACAATTCGAAAATATAAATTTCACAAATTATATAAATATTTTTATTCAATTCTCACGATTAAAGTAATTCGTGTAGAGTACATATGATTTGACAGAACATTATAAAAGATTATGTTCACACACTTGACGTATCATACGTTACCGTCTCGTAAGTGCTTTCTATGAGTCAATTTCTATTATTTATTATAGCACATACAATTTTCTTTTGACATGATACAATACTCATAATATCTCTAAGTACAGTTAGTGTCTTCGACCTTGTTCGTTATGACTTGAGGGCCTACCATAATAGTGTTTTCCGTTTCGGGGTCGACCGAAACACTTTGATGTTAAAAGTACATGATATAAGTACTGTTTAAAAACGTAAAAATATCGTTCTTCTAGACTATTATGGTAGGGTTTATGACGAACGAAATTTTAATCACGAAAAACGAAATTGATTTCGAAAATTCGGAATTTCATTTCATTGTAGACTCCCAGATATTATCATTCTTGAGAAAATACCAAATAGTTTAACATTAAATAGTTGTTTTCGACGTATCGATTATTTTGTAAATATGATCCGAACAATAGGGGTTTCTTCTCAATTATAACAATAAATGAATTATAGATTTTTAGTTACAGTGTTATTGTGAAATTATATGATAAATAATACTGTAATTAGCATGTATAAAAATTATCATCTATTAAAAATATTATTTAAAAATACAGTAATTCGTCTAAATCTATTCATTTCTTCCTTGAAACTCGTTACAATTTTCAAAAATCCCATGAAGTCAATCATTTAAAATTTATATAAAATCCATTCTAAATTATGAAAATAATAGAAAAACATTTAAATATATCTATCAGTTAAAAGCGTTATCAGTTTAAATATTTATCTATCTAGTGCCCAGAATAAAAACTGTACTGTTTTGAGACTGGATTTATTTATTTTTAATTATTTATTTTCTGTAATTGTTTTTATTTTATAATATAATCATTATTTTATTATATTAATTTATTAGTTTTACGCACATTAATTTCAATAAAAAAAAATTATAAGAATTATTACTCTAATAAGTGAAAATCATCGCTAAATATTAATTAATTTAAAATTGTAAACAAATTTCAGAAAAATTCTTCAAAGATATCAACATCTACTGAAGCTACCGCTACTGTGAGAAGTATACTCAACATATCGAGAGTTTCTGACAACAGCACACTGGATCTGGCAGCGGACTCCACCAACCAAACGTTGGCCCAGGATCTGCCCGTGGCGGAGAAACTTCGAGCTTTGAACAGATATACCGATAGGAAAGGTACGTTACAGAATGGAAATATGCTCAATTAAATTTCAAAATAACTTGTTTTGGCAGAATTGAAGTCGTCACAGACACACACACACACACACACACATGTATATATATATATATATGTATGTATGTATGTATGTATATACATATATACAGCATCCTGAGTACCCTAGAATATACTATAATATACATAAGTCCCTTCATACTTTGCAATTTCTAAGGAATATGGCCTTTTTCTTGCATGCCCCATATGTTCACAGGTATCGTGCATGTAATGTTATATAGAATTAATTACCATGGTGCTGTTCTTATCACTTTCTATAAAATTAATCATGAGTCTGTTTGTTATACCATGTTGAATAAACAAAAGTTACATAAAGTTATACCTTTTTGCCGTGTATTAATTCCATATGTGTCGTAAGACGCGACTAAGGGAGCTTATGGTGGAGGGATGGGCAGCAGCGTCCCTCTTAAAACATCGCCAAAAGCCAAACTGCAATTCCCACAATTAGGCTATGTTCTAAGTGGACAATTACCGGCTGATATATACATTTTTTTTTATACAACTTAGAATGGCAAACAAGCTGACGGCCCACCTGATGGAAAGTGGTAACCGTCGCCTATAGACATGAGCAGTACCATGGACATAATAGAGTATACTGTTTCGCCCATGATACCCCCCATGTATTGCCATTCCTGAGGACTCAGGTGTTATTCCTCTGTACCCAGTAAATTCACGCCATATCCCACCCTTCAAACCGAAACATAGCCATGCAAACACAACTGCTTCACGGTTGAAACACGAATGGGACAGAGGTACCCAAGCAATCGACTTTTGGACAAAATCTCCCTCTGGTAATACATACATATCTTTTTGAGTTGCATAAAAAATTTTATAGGCCATACAAAAATGGAAAATGGAATAGATAATTCCAAATTTGGGCATGTATAAAATATATTTTTACGTGTATGTTTCAGGCAGTCTCTTTCGCCGCGGATCGTACTCCCCAAAACCACCAGTCCGAAGAACCACAGCGGAGCCGACCATCAGCCCGATCAGGAGGCGACCGCTACCAGCCAGGAAGCTGCCCACTCCGAGCGAGCAAGCCAAGTGTGAGCTGTTCACTAACTCGCTGTGTCTACATGCAGACGATTATCCGATGTAAGTAATTCGATACCTATCTATATAATTCTGTTCCACATATAAGTTTGTTTTTATCTGTTAATATATTGATTTTTCATTTATTTATATATCAGCGTTTAACTGTCCAGTACTGACTATGAGCTTCCCCCTCGAGGATTTCAATCATTTGTAAAGCTGAAAAACAGCGATATTGAAAGTTAGTATTATTTTTTGGGACACATTTTAACACTTTATTTCTCCATTTAGATATTAGTCTAAACCAAAGGAATTTCTATATTATTTAATATAAAAGTAACGTTTGAAAAATATTTTTTTATATGTAAAGTTAAAAACATTTTACCTGACTCGTGAAGGATTTGAACCTCCGCCCTCCGATGGTCAAGCTTAATGTACATATCGGTGCTCTAACCTACTGAGCTAACGAGTCTGTTGCGTTTGTGGCGAAATTTTAGCATCACTATATTCCCGAAGCCATCTTGCAACAGCCAATATTAGTCGTGAAGGTTAAAAGATGACCTCACGCTAGCTGCAGCTAATATTATCTTGCATTATTGTGTTTATACAATTATACAATGTATTTGCGAGCTCATATTATCTGTTATAAATACAGATACAAATTTGTAACAACTCGCAACCGGCTTCGCGGGGTACATACAAGAGAGCCCTTCAATTACCTCTTTTAAGAAAAGGTTGAAGTTACATTTTCTTTCCTTTGAGTCATAATCTTAATTTATTTATTTTTATAATTGAACTGTCAAACTTTAAAATCATTGAACTAAATTTCTATTGTAGGTAGTATATTCATTTATTTTAACATCCACTGTATAAGTAGGTAGATATTATATTTATTTATAGTATATGTATTTATGTAATATTTTATTATGTATCTTAATATTTTATTTAACTGTATATTTGTTTATGTACACTAAATATTAATAGTTGTAGCACTTCAGCTGCCCGCTAGCAACATGTTTTCTAACTGCATTGGGTTGACTGGAAGAGATCTCTGTCAGAGATAAGTCCACCCTTGCTCACAATATTTATAAATGCATTAACATTGTAATTTACAAGTGCAATAAAGAATATACATACATTTTTTTAATATGCATACAATATTTATTATTTATTTAATTATTTAAGGAACACCAACAGCATATTGCATTATAACATATAGGTATAACAAACATTAAATATAATATAATATTAATGCACACGCCTATTATAGGTTATAATTATAGACATATGCATATTATACAGATGTCTATAATTTAGCTAGCGTAACTTATGAAAATCGATTCTGAAACCGATATCAAAAAAGGAATACGTTCTCATATCGGTTGTATATTTTTTATGTTTGTTTTCTTATAACTTCGTCATTTTTATTCGATATAAATACAAAATAATAAATTATACGAAGTTTTACCAGAAAGGGACTTTGTACAAAAGTCGTTTGTTTGAGCACCTCTATCCCATTCGTGTTTCTACCGTGAAACAGTTGTGTTTGCATGGTTGTATTTCGGTTTATAGAGTGGGATATGGCGTAAATTTACAGGGTACAGAGGAATAACACCTGAGTCCTGAGGAATGGCAACGCATGTAGGGTATCATGGGCGAAACAGTATACTCTGTTATGTCCATGGTACTGCTCATGTCTATAGGCGACGGTTACCACTTTCCATCAGGTGGGCCGTCAGCTTGTTGGCCATTGTAACTTAAATAAAAAAAAATACAATGTGGGTATCTAAGAAAACAATTATTGTAAGGTATTGATAAAACAATTCGTTTATCGGCGTGTTCACGACTAGACATACCTACTGTTTGATACAATATTAATAAATACTCCAGTTGCTGCAGTAATAGTTCTTTATATATTTAAAAGTTTTAGTTTTCCTTTAAAATATAGACATATAATAATAAGATTTACAACGTAACAATAAGACAGTCTTGTAGTAGTCAAGTGTAGTGTCACACAGAGGGCGTCTTAACCGAGCGATTAATATCCAATTTGCAGGGTAGTATGGTGACCCTTCCGTTGTAATAATTTACACGGCCTACCCACTACGTGTATGCCGGTCCGCCATTGTTTAGGCATGTATTAGTGTTAACACCTATTATGTAGGACGTGACGTAACGTGACGTCATCCACTGATAGCGCAATACTATGCAATCGATAGTAACAACCTTTTTGGATGCCAGGAAATCAACATACATATTAAAATCGTAACTGGTCGCTGTCTGTACATGGAAGATATATAAGATAAACTATTATAAGGGGCCTTTATGAACGCAATAGAACCTAAAACAATGATTTTTAAATTTTTTGCTTGTTTTTCTGTTTGTCTGTACATTTGTGCACGCTAATCTCAGAAACGGCTCAACCAATTTGAATGCGGTTTCCACTAATACGTTGCGGTTTACTGCACTTAACATTTACTGTTTATTTTATTTTAATCGGTTCATAAATAAAAAAAGTTATATTAATCTAAAGAATAACATATAAAATGCTATAAAATAACCCATCCGTTGAATTAGCTGAAACTTTATGATAGTATTAGGTACGTAACTATCATTTAAGTATATAATACAATATAAGATCGGATTCATGAAGAGTTCCAATAGAAATTATATAAGGGAACTACATAGTTAGAAGTGAGCAACGCCGCGGGAAACGGCTAGTACAGTACTATAATACGTCTGTCTATGCAATTAATAATAGCAACGATACTGACTCAGCGGATATGAAACATACGTTTACGTCATCTGCTATTAAATTGTATTGCTGACGTAATTTCTCGTAATATGAATCACAATTTTAGTACACTTCATCGAAGACTCGTTAGCTCAGTAGGTTAGAGCACCGATATCTCCTTTAAGCTTGACCATCGGAGGGCGGAGGTTCAAATCCTTCACGAGTCATATATATAATTTTTTCTTTATATTTCTATGCAAATTATTCTATTTACATTAACATTTATTTTAATGAATAACTTGTTTGATTTTATACAATATAATTATTTTTATTTTAAATTAATTACATTTTAGTAACTTAATTATTTCAATTAGATCTGGTAAAAGTATTGTAACGTAACTAATGTGTGACTAGAAAACAATAAGACCATGCACGTCTTGGTCTAGGGCGAGGGATAGACGACAACGTACCTCCTGCGTTTGCCAATCCGCCTGCCAAGCATAGCAACTACTGGCAAAACTCAAAGGAGAGGCTTACGTTCAGTATTGGACGATTAAGGGAGGGTATTATAAAATGTTTTAAAACTTTTCAAACTGTTCATATTCTAGGGATGTAATCATACAAACTATTCGACGCAACAAGGCGGCGGCCGGAGCCCTGCTAGCGGACTACAGGGACCCTGGCGATGGGGCCCTCGACGGGGTCACGGCTGCACAGGAAGCGAAGTACACTGCTGACCATTACCTCGTCTCTAATAGGTAAGATAATGCATATTCATTATTTTGAAAATCTCTAAAAAAAATCGAAAGCGGTAGAAGAGGAAAGAAGGGATGAAATTTTATAGTTGTACTAGCTGACTCGGCAAACGTTGTTTCACCATATACGTTATTTCGAGAATTATACATGAAAATTTATCCTACTACAATTATTATATTCGATTGCCATCTTGCAAGCCTATTGCTATATAAAAATCGCGATTAAAAAACAGGGGTTGATTGTAAAAGCGTGAAAATTTTTATTTGTATGTATTTTTCAATGCTAAATCATAATAAAATAAAAATAAAAAAATTATCAAAAAAAAAAATTGTGGGGTAGGTACCCTTATCATTGAGGGGTATGAAAAATAGATGTTGGCCGATTCTCAGACCTACCGAATATGCACACAAAATTTCATGAAAAACGGTAAAGCCGTTTCGGAGGAGTTTGGTAACAAACACCGTGACACGAGAATTTTATATATTAGATGTATTATAGTAAAAAAAATTTTAAATTCTATCGCAGTGCCACTTAGCGAATGCAATTGTGAATCCAAACCATCCCACACAAAAAGTTTTGCAGCAAAATCGATACAGCGGTTTAAGAGAAATTCAGTGATATAGACACGTACAGTAGAATAATTGTCATAAAATTGTAAATAGATCCCTCCTTCATATCGATTTTTCTCAAATCTATACTTATAATAAATCTGTAGAGAGGTCAATTCTGTACATGAAATATATTCCCAAAATAACTATCAGCGGGTGATTAGTGATCGATACTGATGCCAAAAATGCAATCAGTAAAATTTTTGTCTGTCTGTCTGTACGTTCGTTATAGAAACAAGAATTACTCGACGGATTTTAACGAAACTTGGTACAATTATTCTTCATACTTCTGGGCAGGTTATAGTATACTTTTCATCACGCTACGATCAATAGGAGCAGAGAAGTGAAGGGAAATGTTGAGAAAACGGAAGAAGTTACTCCATTTTTAATGTTCCGTCGCGTGTGCAGCCCTAATGGCCACTTTTTAAAATGTAAAAATGTCCACCCGTGCGATGCCGGGACGGGCCGCTAGTTATTTTCTATAAGGGATATTTAAGAAAAAGCAACGAGAGAGATAATAATTGTGTGAACAATAGAGGCTAATGCAATTATTTCTTGTATTTTTATATCTGTCCGTCTGTATGTTTGTTTCGATATCACGTAAAAACTACGAAGTCGTGTATTTTGTTGATTTTTTTACAGAAAAGTACTTTTAAGATAATAAATGTATGTATAATTATTAAAATTTATTATTTATGCATCATTTATATAAGTATGTATCTATACATAATACAGTTTTATCTTTGGCTGTTAAATTGGTTACACAGATTACACTCTGGGTTTGTTGTACGCGTCCGTGTAGCCCAATTTCAGGCTGCAGCTGAAAATAAGTGCTTTGCTTTTAAGTAAAACTGTCACTGAGCTATAACCTATTTGGGTCACTGCGACACACATGGCGAAACCATATTTTATCTTTTGTTGTATATTTTAAAAAGTGTAAACAATTCAATTGTATAAACTCATTTGTCGTATAGGGAGATAAAGGATATGGCCTGGGATAGAGCTGGCTGGAGGAAGATGCATGGATTGGTTGCACCGACAAGAGGAAACTCTTAAATGAAAATGAAAACTCATTTGTAAATTTACGTGCGTTATAAATGGCTCAAATAAAAAGTTTGTGTATCCATTTAACAAACTTTCAATACAGAGATATTTCATTATTCATAGCTCAATTGAATTTGTAATCGAATAAAGTACTAGACTAGAAGCTTGACTGGTTAAAGAATTACCTAATAGTAACAGTAGGAAGGAAAGGGGATTGTAATTTATTGTTCTAGTTATTGATTTCAGAGATACCTATACAATCCATTCAGTGTGTTTTTTTTTTATACAATTTAGAATGACAAACAAGCTGACGGCCTACCTGATGGTAAGTGACATGAGCAGTACCATGGACATAACAGAGTATACTATTTCGCCCATGATACCGCCCATGCGTTGCCATTCCTGAGGACTCAGTTGTTATTCCTCTGTACCCTGTAAATACACGCCATATCCCACCCTTCAAACCGAAACACAGCCATGCAAACACAACTGCTTCACGGTTGAAACACGAATGGGACAGAGGTGCCCAAGCAATCGACTTTTGTACAAAGTCTCCCTCTGGTGAACATATATATATATATATAAACAACATTGCACCTCTTTAAACTCACTAAAAGCCAAACTGTGATTACCAATCCGCCTGCCAAGCTTGGCCAGTAGTTGCCAAATCCTCCCAATGGCAAACTGCCATAAGGAATAGGAGCGTTCCTTACAGTGACAGTCTATGTGGGAAGTCTATGTCCAGCAGTGGACAGATAAAAGATATGTTGATGATGATAAATAATGATAAATCTAATATATAAAATTCTCGTGTCACTGTGTTTGTTACCAAAGTCCTCCGAAACGGCTTTACCGATTTTTATGAAATTTTGTGTGCATATTGGGTAGATCTGAGAAAATCGGCCAACATCTATTTTTCATACCCCTCAATGATAAGGGTGACCCACTCCAAAATTTTTTTTAAATTTTTTTACAAGATTTTTTTTATTTTTATTTTATTATAATTTAGCATTGAAAAATACATACAAATTCAAATTTTCATGCTTTTACGATCAACCCGTGTTTTTTAATCGTGATTTTTATATACCGCAATAGGGTTGCAAGATGGCAATTGAATATAATAATTGTAGTACGAAAAAATTACTTGTATATATCTCGAAATAATGTATACGGTAAAACAACGTTTGCCGAGTCAGCTAGTATTATATAAAATATTTGTAAATAATAACATTTTATTACGGAAAGAAAAAAAAAACAATTATGCCAATGTCACTCGGGATGACTTGATGCTAATAATATCCAGGACACTCAACTGTGTTCAGGAATTAAGAAGTTATATTATATATTATATATACACACTTCTTCTTTGTGTAATCGTTTAAAAAATATCTATAGGAAAGTGAAATTATATATTTTTTTTTTAAAGGTATACTCGTCTCGTAGAAATTTTATCAAAATCGATCCAATAGTTTAATACTGAAACCAATATAAATAATTTTGCTACAATTAACGTAGATTTTTTTGTGAAACAATCATAAATTACATATTAATCAGAGATTTACTGTAGTATAAATTAAATTAAATAAAAAGCACTGACTCGTGGAGGATTTGAACCTCCGCCCTCCGATGGTCAAGTTTAGAGAAGATATCGGTGCTCTAACCTACTGAGCTAACGAGTCGTTGCGTCGAACTTCTAAAATTTTGATTATATACTAAAATATGACGTCAAATATTGCTGACGTCATCTGCTAAAAGTAGCGTGAATGAGGGTGGCGCGACCTGAGAAGTTTTAAACCCGCGTCCATTCTACACGAAAGTCTATGACGTACTTTATCGAACGACCGAACGAATACATGCCAAATCAGCCAACATTGATATGTTGATATATATAATTATAACATTTTATTTATGGAGCATAATGACTTTTGACCGTCAATTCGCACGCGTAGTTATTAGAATTAGTAACTATTTCTATATGTCGTTATAAGTAGAAAATATACACCAGTTTTAGATTTTCAAAACATAATTATGAAAACTGCATTCGATTTAATGCTGCTGCACTATATACCAACTATTGTTTTTGCGTGATGCCAAAAAGTCCAGTTTTTAAATTAATTTACAAAAATTCTTAATTGAGAGGCAAATGTTAGACATTCCAGCAAGTTACCTCTATGTTCCATTTGTCTGCTAGATAAGCTGTCATATCTGTCTGTTTACTGTATGGATAGTCTGGTGGTATTGTTTTATTGTTACCCTATTCCCTTTGGCCGCAACAGAACATCAGTGCTTTGCTCTTTTGACGGCGAAGCAATAAACTGAGATGTGGCCATTTTGTATTGCTTGCTATGGCACACGCACAAACGAAAAATTGTATTTGGCTTTATGTATCTATTTTTTTTTTTAATAATTTATGTTATCTCGCTAATTATGTATATTAGTATATGTTGTAATTTGTGTGCTGTAAGTAATGCAAATAAATTATCTATCTTTCTAAAAAATATCATACAGATAGAAAAAATTAAAAAAATATATAATTTTAGCTTCTACTGTATGTTTGTTCCGGTATCATGAGAAAACTACTACGTCAATTTAAATACGGTTTTGACAGTTGTGTTGCTGTAGATTCAACATAAAATCTAGTATGGGCTTTATCCAATATAGAAATGATCCACTTATAGATCGAGTATCATTCAATCTAGAAGGAGATATTTAGTTTTCCTACTTCTGAAATCAACGCGTTCATTATTTGTATACATAGGATAGATAGATAGATACTCTGTATTGTTTCCTCCAAAACATTACAATAGTAAACCTATTATAAATATAAACAATTACAAAAAATAATCACAATGAGAAAACAATGGGCAGTCTTATTGCTAAAAGCTAAGTTGTCCTCTGTTTGTATTCGTCTGATTTTTTTTTGATATATCTATAAAAAAAAATATGTATTTCTCTCTATTGCTTTTTTTTTATATACAACTTAGAATAGCAAACAAGCTGACGGCCCACCTGATGGAAAGTGGTAGCCGTCGCCTATTGACATGAGCAGTACCATGGACACATGGTACTGCTCATGACACCCCCCATGCGTTGTCATTCCTGAGGACTCAGATGTTATTCCTCTGTACCCTGTAAATTCACGCCATTTCCCACCCTTCAAACCGAAACACAGCCATGCAAACACAACTGTTTCACGGTAGAAACACGAATGGGACAGAGGTATCCAAGCAATCGACTTTTGTACAAAGTCTCCCTCTGGTATATGGTATGGTCTAGTACCCACAGTAAAAGTTCTACTTATTTTTAAACTAGATGGAGCTGTTGACTATATCGAGTGGTGTTTATTACTATTATCATCAGGCGAGGTGATACAGCCAACCGTGACTTCGCCGGCGCTGGGGAAGCTGGCTTCATGTGCCCCAGCGTCGTGAAGTATGCGAGACCGCAACGTGCCCGCGCCACCTCGGGCCAGTGGAAGTACATCGTCAACACGGGGGAACACACGCAGACCTTGAGGCTTGAGAAGTGCTTGTGAGTGGACTCTTACCCTATTGATATTATAAATGTCCCGAGCGCCGTGTGGTCCCGGCATCGAATAGGCCACCCTGCCTTACCCGTTGTCGTCGTACAAACTATCGCATTGGGACGGGGAGAGAAGTATTAAGTCGAACTCCACGTAGTCCTGCTGGAAACCATCGTGCTGAATTCCTGATGATCACGATGGGCTAACTGACCTGCCTTTTCATTCTCAGATGAGAATAAAAAGGCAGGTTAGTTAATAAGGGATAGGGATAGGTATGGTGCCTCGTCAGCGTATCCCGTTAGCGCAGGTGAGGTTTCATTCCATTGTCATCGGTAAAAAAACTCGAATTTATGATAATCAACATCAATGTATTATCCATTAACTGCCCAGTGCTAAACATAAGACATCGGGAGGAAATTAGTAATGGGGTCTAGTTACCCCATTGCTAGCAATATACCATACCAGGTGGACCTCCTCGCGGCCTCCCCTGGAAACCATCGTGATTGATTGGTCATTAAATTCATCACGAAAGGCCAACTGACCAGCTTCATTCTCGCCTATCATCACTCTCTGATGCCCCGCTAGTGTATACCGATAGCGCAGGCGGGGTTGCCATTCCATTATCGTCCATTAAAAAAATAGAACATAAGCCATCCCTTGATGGGGAGTTTTGGCATTAGTTGCCACGCTTGGCAAGCGGATTGGCATAATAGTTAGTAGGCAACATTAAATCTGATGGGAATACCCAGATATTGCAACGCATTAGTGATGTTTGCGGAAATGCCGACAGACGGCTATGATTGTCATGCCATAATCCGAAAACGCTCCGCGTCAATGATGCGTAGTTTTATTGCGAAGTTTGAGAAATTGTTCAGATTACTACCTGCTGCTGATTTTCACTACTGTACAATTCGCCATAAAGTTTCATCCCAACCATCTGGACGAGAGGCAGTCTTCATATGTTTTTCAATTCACTTTCTTCCACGCACAACCACTCTTTGGAATCAACTTCTAATAGCAGTATTTACGAACCGATACGACATTATAACCTTCAAGAAAAGAGCATATACCTTTTTAAAAGGCCGACAGTACACCTGCAATGCTTTTGGTGTTGTGGGTGATCATGAGCGGCGGTAGTCACTTACCATTAGGTGAGCCGCATGCTCGTTTGCCTCATGTTTTGTAAAAAGAATGCTTCGCAACTTGAATACATATGTAATATGTATAAGATGTAATGACAAATAATTAATCTCAATAATTAAAAACTCAGTGTCAATAATCACAAAACTGAACAATAAAAGTATTGAAAAAAGCTAATTTAAAATTGTAAACTAATTTAAAATCTTAATTAAAATTATTAAAATTCAAATTTGTGTGTTCCCGATATAGAATGGGCTACCTTTTTCTTTCCTCGGGTGTCGCAACTAAGGGAACTTAATAGTTTAGAGATGGATAGCAGCGTTTCTCCTATAACATCACAAAAGCCCAACTGTGGTTTCTAAACCGCCTGCCAAGCTTGACAACTACTGACAAAAACTCCGTACAGTAGTGGACGGTTAATGGATCATATGACGATGATTAAAATGGGATTGTTACGAGAGTACATCAAAATAGATTCAGAATTGAACATGTCTTTTTTTTCATATTTATAACATAGAGGGCAAAGGGCATGCGGCTAATTTGATGTTAATTGTCTTCCGCGGTCATAGACACCCACAACATTAGAGATATTACAGATGTGTTATGCGTAACACTACTATAATTAAAACAAGAAAAGAGCATATTTTTTTTCCTAAAAGGTACGCCTTATGAGAAAGAATATGCTCTTTTATTGAAGGTTACAATGTCGCATTTATTCAGGAATACTGCTGCTGCGACGAACCTATCGAATTACATATACACACAAAAAGTACGGACAATACACAAGAGATGTCTTTTTTCATTTAAATTTTTTTTTATACAACTTAGAATGGCAAACAAGATGACGGCCCACCTGATGTAAAGTGGTAACCGTCGCCTATAGACATGAGCAGTACCATGAATATAACTGTTTCGCCTATGATACCCCCCATGCGTTGCCATTCCTGAGGACTCAGGTGTTATTCCTCTGTACCCAGTAAATTCACGCCATATCCCACCCTTCAAACCTTGTCAAAAATTATATTTTTAAAATCAAATATAATTTTTGACTAATTAGTATATCGAATTTAAAACATTAGTATAAAGTGGTCTTGTCCAACCAACCTAGTACAATGAGAAAAAAAAATACTAAATACAAAATAATCTTTGTATAATACGAACAACATTTATCCCGTTTATAATTATTATTAATTTATTTATTTTGTTTTAGGAAACCAAAGGAGTCTTGTACTTACCTCACTGACAATTTCAAGTCCAAATGTGTCCAAGTATATAATTATCACAGACTTTTAACTTGGGATCAGCAGAATGGTTTACACATGGATATATTCAAGGTAATTCTAAATTATATGTATCTAATTGTATATTAATATTTAAATAAAAAGCGTTTCCTAATGTGTAAGGATTTTTGTTTATTTGTCACAGTTTAAAAGCGAAATTACCGAGCTAATTTATGGTAGAAAACAACGTATTTTTTTTTGTTAGAAACCTAGAATCATGTACAAGCTGAGGGACCATAGAAAGTAATCATTGATTAATAGATCATATTTTGCACTTTATTATTATACTACGAAGGTGGCAAACAAGCATACAGCCCGTCTGATGGTAAATGGTTACGGTCTGTGAATGCCTGCAACACAGGGGGTGTCACTTGTATAATGTAGAAGACTATTAAAAAAATTTATTAATCTGAAAATGCTAATATAAAAAATGAAGTAATAATAAAAGTATAATTAATATTTTTCAGGTTCCTACGTGTTGTTCTTGTCACATAGAAGGTTATAGTGTGTCTTTCCCTCCACTTGGTCATCGAGTTCACGAGACCTCCTCAGAACATTTTCCTGGGGAAGATCTTTCATCGGAACATGGCAATCATGCCTTTGAAGCAGTTCAGTCAACCATTCATAGGCCAAATATCAAAACACAAGGGTTCACACACAGCAAACAATTAGAATCCTTCCCGTCATTTAGTGAAAACCATGAATTATTAGCTGGAATACCATTCAGCAATGCCAAATTGAACGATAATGATGAAATTGTTATTAATACAGGAAAAATACCACAATCTAATCCCATGGACTCGTATGGAAATACGTACTTCCCAGATTCCTTTAACCAAGCAAGTTCAATAAGAAACGTAAAGAGGCCACTGCCCGGACGAACTCCTGTAGGATCGAATAATTTCGTCACAGTTACATTACCAAGTTACTTAGAACCCCCCACACCATCTGGACCTTCTTCTTTTAATTTCATAAAAGAAACTCCTAATCAACTTAAAACAACGGGGGGTCAATTTAAAAGAGGACCAATTAGACCAAGCCGTTTACCAATAAGAAAGAAAATTTCGGGAGGACCTGATTTAATATCATCGGGTACATCATCTGTTGGGTCACTCCCCAATAGTAATGCAGATTCTTTGGAAGAGTTAGATAATTCAGAAGAGCCTAATATAGTCTCTGTTACTGCGAATGTTCCTAGAAGGGTTACCATTGCGCCTAAATTGCAGGCAGTAACTACAGAAAAGATTGTTAAATCATTTAGACCTCAGGAGCAGAATAATGAAGCCAATGAAAACTTTTCCTCGAGTGGTAAACGAGTAAATTATAATTACCATCCAATTATAGACTTTTTTGGCGCAGAAGAAAAAGATGAGGCAAATGAATCTATAGACAGAGAAGATACTGTATCGAGTTATGAACCCACTGAATCAGAATGGAAACCTATAAATCATCCTCCTTCGAGAAATTCTCAATCGTCCAATGTTATTGGACGGAAAAAACATTAATAGGTCATTAAGAAAATTTATTTAATAAAATATAATTGAGATTATTAAATTATCATACTCAAAAAATCTAAATATGAGTGTGTTTGTATATTAATTTTTCATTAAGTAATAATTTAATTAAATAGCCAGCAAATATTTATAACTATTGTTACACTCGAAACCAAAACGATTCTTAAATGTAATTAATTATTAAATATTTAATTTTATTTATTGTTAATTTATATAATAATAATATAGTGAATTAGCTAGTAGTTTTTGTAAGAATTGAAAGACTTACCACAGAAATAAAGTTGCAATAAATTAACAAAAGAAATATCTATTATTATTTACAACACTGACCATAATCGTACTCAATCAACAAGACTTTGTTAAAAGTTATTTAAACCGACATGTTTTGTTTCGTAAGAGCAACTTGCAGTTTTAATTAAAAATCCAATACATTCAGAAAATTGACAAGCGTTTTCGATAAAGAGCAACGAAAGTGAAAGCGTAATCGAGTTTTTATATTGAGTTGAATGAACGCTACGTGAAATAGTAAAGTGGAACAATTTGCTGGTAATTGGTTCGGACAAGACAAACAATACTGCTTCAGGGTAAATTTGAGACATTCGTAATACCCCAAATGTGTATCGAACCGAGAAAATGAACTACTGATAAGGGGCAATCGACATACATTTTACGTATACCGTTTACGATGAATTATCTATGATGAGATGATAAAATATTAGTCATTGTGATTTTTTATCATTCTAACTCATTCTTTACTACAGAGTAGATACTGTATGTATAGAATATGGATAATATACTGAATTAAAAAAATAATATTAATTCTTTTATATTAATATTTATTTATGAAAGAAACATATACAAAAATATACACATTTTATTCTAAAGTATACAATATATTAATATCTATCACAGAAGCATTAAGTTATTAATTATTATTCATAAGAATTAATTAATTAATTTTAAAAACAACTTTATGTGATTTCATTTACTTCTTCACAATTTATTTTTTATAAGTAACATGAAACACATTTTGTGGCACTTTCTATTTATTACATAGCCTATAATTAGTTTCAATCAAAATACAAAAAGGCTCTTGTGAAACAAATCTAGAGAAATAATTTAATTATATTCACGCATCGACGTAGTAATACATACGTTTACTAGGGTCTAATATATAAACAGGAGTTGTTGTTAGTATGGGAACTGCTCTAGCAAAACTATTTAACAATACAGCAGCATTGGCTCTAGCATCCTTTTGAGTATCTCGGTTTGTTTTGGATTTTTCAGAAGCTGACTCTTGTTTTCGTTTATCTGCTTGAACTAGTCTCGCACTTTTATAATTACCACCATGCATAGAACCCCTTCCATGACTTGGACTAGTAGATTTAAAGTTATCGCCTTGTGCAGAAGAACTGTCATCATAATCTTCAGGAATATCATCATCTAGCTCAATTATTTTTTCATTTTTTTTATTAATACGTCTACGTTCTATATCTGTTAATGACTTTAGATTACCACCATGTCTTGGTTTTGACATATAATCGGTTGTTTCGGCGAGTTCAATCAATTTGGCATTCCTATTATTACTTTTTCTAGTATTTTTTATATCACTGATAGACTTTAAATTACCTCCATGCATTCTTACAGATGAAATGTCATCGTCGAACTCTATAGATTTTTTATACTCACTTTGAGAGGTCTCAGCATCTTCTTTAGGGACTTTTAAATTACCCCCATGTAGTATGTTAGAAGTGCTAGTTTCCTCCATTATGTCTGTTATTTTGGCACTTTTGTAATTTCCTCCATGCCTGGGACTATTTTTGAGGTCCAAATTTTCTTTAAATACTTCAACAGCATCTAATTTATTTATATTTTTTGCCAAATTCTCGTCTTTATATAACTCTAATAATTCCGAGTTCTTTTGTGATAATCTTGGAGCACTATTTCTAGGTATTTCTTTCACAATTTCTATTTCTTTGATATCCTGTTTAAATTTTGTTACGTGAGGAGACGATGTATTTACTGGTAACTCTTTGTGTATTTCAATTTTTTTCGTCATAACTATAGGTTTTCTCTTAAGTTCAGTTGTTATCGGATTTGTTGTTAATATAGGAGCAGCAGTTGTAATAATTAATGTACGTTTCAGAGGTTCAGATGTTGTTGTTGTTATTTTTGGGACATTTTCCTCCTCTTCCTCTTCCTCATCTTCGCCATCGTCATCATCATCATCTTCACCGTCACTGTCATCGTCTTCATCTTCATAATCATCTTCTTCACTACTACTTTCTTCACTTGACCTTACTGACTGATTTTCTTTTCTTCTCTCTTCCTTTTCATATAAAGGAATATAATCATTCATATCATGTTTAACACCTATTAATGCATCAACTTCTTCTTCTCTCATGTCGTCCTCATCTTCACCGTAACTTTTTGTGTCTGTTACTATTGTACTTTTTGTACTCTTTTTTTTCTTTTCCCTATACTTCGGAGTATTATCATTATCTTTATATTTATTTGCTTCTAAATTTTCATCTTTTTTAAATTTATTATTTTCAATAACCGGAGGATTACGAAATCTTGTTGTTAAGCGCAATTTTGGACTTTCAGTTTCAGTTTCTAATTTCTTTACTTTTTCCGTGGTTGTTGTTGTTGTTGTTTTGGATTTTCTTCTGAATATTGGCTTTGGTGTAGTTGTTGTAGTAATAATATCCACTTTCTCTTCCTCTTCATCTTCTTCGTATTCATCGTATTCTTCTTCACTCTCTCCATTATCTTTATATTCTGAATTATCATTCTTTCCTGACTTAGGAGAAATAGTAGTGGTTATAATAGTCTTTTTTACAGTATTCGATGCTGCTGGAGTTTGTATATCTACTTGAGTAGAATGAGATTTATTGCGATTTAGTGTTAAAGATCGTGATAGTAAGTTACCATTATTATATTTGCTATTAGTTTGTGCTTCATAATCTTTTACAGACATGGCTTTTTTATTTTCAACTGGAGAGTATTGTCGTTTATGATTTAAAGGCCTTACTTCATACCTAGGTTCACCTCTACGTTTATCAACATTAACATCAACAAATCGTATAGAGGCCCCGATATTTTCTTTTGAGTTTTTAGACTGTTCTCTATCTTTTTTGCCAATATCTTTATATATACGACTAGCTACATTTTGTTTAGCAGAATCTTTCTCTTGATTTGAATTTGTTACTTTATCAACAACTTTACTAGATTGAAGCTGTTTTATAAGTGGACTGATATTACTACTAGTAGTAGTCCTTTTAGATTCTTGAATTTGCCCATCTCTTATTATTTTATAAGGTTCGTATATAAAGGGTGCTGCTCTTTTTTTCCTTGTAATTTTTGAGGGCTTTATAACGTCCTCTTTATTTTGAAAGAATTTATAGGTTATATTGGCAGAGTTAATATCTTGTAATGTGTGATTTAATAAATTAAAAGGTATCCTATTTTTATTATCATATGATTTTGGATTTTGCGTACGGTCTTTAACATTGTCAATTATATCTGTATAAAGATTTGATTGTTGCAATAGTTGACTATCATTAATTGTAGTATTCTGAGGTGAATTCAATGATAATTTTAAACGATCCTTATCATTCCTCAGTGTCTCATTTAGTGGAACTTCAATAGTTCTTAATTTATCTATTAAATCAAAAATATCTTTATTATTTTTGTTTTTATTTTTTTCTACACTTTTAAAAATATTACTTGTTATGGTCTCTTCTTGGGGTTCCTTTTTAGTTTCTATAATTTTATATATTGTAATAGTTGGCAAGGTAACTGGTTCTGGATTTGCTATAATTTCTTCCTTAAAGAATGGACTATCTAATGGATTTTCGCCAAAATATTTGGCTTTAAAACAATCTATTTTATCTCCTAGCCCACTAAGACGTGGTTGTTTTTCAACAAGATCAATTTCCTTTTCTGAAGATTCCTCTTCATTTTCGGTACTATCAGGGTGACCTTTATTTTTTAGTTTTTTTGGTACAGAATCAACTTTTTCGTCTACTTCTGGGCATATTAATTGTGACCTAGAGTCATAAAATTCAGTACCACCCTCTGATTTTTTAGGTATCAGTTTTAGATTTTCAGCATACCTAAGAGGTGAATCTCTGTGAATAGATGTAAGTTTTTTAAAATAATAGGGATATTTTAATTTTAAGCCATTCTCTGATTTTATTTTTTCTTTAGAAATTTCTAGAATTTCGTCTTCAGTTAAATAGGTTGTATTTAAATTTATTTCTGGAACTTTAAAATTTGCTTCTCGTTTATTTACGTCATGATTATCGCTTGTATTTTCAATATCAGATTCAGTTCCATCATCGTTGTTTCCAGTATCCTTTTTATAAATATTTGCTTCAGCAGATTGCTTTTGTTCACTTTCAGAGTAATCTTCAGAATCGACATTTTCTGTATTATCTTCATCACTGTTTTTCCATTTTTGTCCATGTAATTCATTATTTCTATATGCAGATCCATGTGTATCATCAAAATTACCACTGACAGTCGGTATTTTATATTTACCTCCGCTTATCTCTTGTTCTTTTAGGTATCCACCATGACCTTCATGATCCGAAGCATGTTTTTGTTCACCAGCATGATCATATGCTGAATCTTCATAACCTTCCTCTGTATAAATAGTCTGTGCTTTTGTCGTCTTTACAGCTTCCTTTAAACGAGGAGCATTTCGTATTTCTTCATAACTGTCTGCATCTTCATATGCCGCTTCTCGTGGCAAATGTCTTGTAGTCTCTGTTTTTCTTACCTGAGCGTAATTCTTTACTGGTACAAATTCATCTTCTTCTTCATCAGTAGGCTGATCTTCGTTCTGAAGCTCTAATTTTTGAGAAACTAAGGGCCGGTTTTCAGTCACCGCTTTATTTATAGACTCATCGATATTATTTCTAAGTTGTGTGTATTTTGCTTTACCCTTTTCATAAATATCGTATCCTTCTGGTGTTTCTGTGAGATCTTCTTTAATAGGCACTTGTGGATATTCATTACGTTCGTCATCGTATGTCAATGCATGATGTTGTCTTAATTTTTGTAAATGATTTTTTAACGGTTTATAGTGCACTGGTCTTATTTTTACATAATTCTGATTCCATGGATGTTTAAATTTATGATTTAAAATGTGATCTCGATTATAAAATTTTGGTAGTCGCTTGTAGTATATAGGTCGTCGTTGTGGTCTATGTATTTCAAAGTGAGCCGGCACATTCTTATGTGGAACTTTTTTCTGATCAATTTGATCTGGACTTTCTAAATATTCTTCACTTTTTATATTTGGTTTTTCTTCTGTTTTTTCATAATTTTCAATGTTTTTGCTTGCATCTCGCAAATCATTCCGGATTTTATCAAACACTGGATCCTTGTATAATTCCTGCAAAGCTGGTTCTTCTGCCTTATATGGATGAAAAACTTCATAATCAGAAATTATAGGTGTAATATAGTTTTGCGAATTTTCAACATCTTTTGTGAATTTTTGTAATGGACGATATATATCTCTATTTTTGTCTTGTAGTCTATGTTTTCCTAAATTAGGCTTTTCCTGACCTGTGTAAGGTCTAATCGGATAGGCTTTATAATGATTTTCTGGTGACTGTACACCGTGAAATTTAGCTATATCGATAGCAAATTGCGGTTTCTGGGCTGTATACTGAAAATACTCCACCGGTATCGGATTTTGCTGTGTGGTTTGTTGATTTTCGGGCTTGAAAGTCTCAACAGAGAACTCATTTTGTTTTTCGTTCACTTCACTATTATCACCATTGTCCCAGTTCACTGGGACCCTGATAGTCACGCACAGTTCACAACACTGTAGCACTAGGAGCGTCGCTAGGGCTGTTGTCATGTACATCGTGACATCACGATCGCGGCGAGTTAAAGCGATTGACTGAACCGTGCCGGGAAGCTGACAATCGTATTTATCTCCTCGGTCGGTCGCTGCGGACCGATTGCTTTAGCGTTGTAGCCGCTGGTGTAAAACACAAAATCAAGCGAATGACAATGGATATATTTTTTTATAAGACGAAGATAACAAACAAGTATAAAGCCCGTCTGATGGTAAATAATTGCTATAGCTTATGGACGCCTGCAACGCCAGGGATGTCACATGTATGTTGCCGACCATTAATACACCCTTTTTGAAGAAAACTACATTGAAGACTCCAAAGAAAACTTCAAATATCTACATAAGAAAAAGTGTTTAAATGTACATAATTTATGATTGATCTTAATCACTATTTGTATTGAGACTTCTTATTGCGACTCCATTATATCGTATTATATATAGTACTATTTTAAATATTGGTATTTTTTTACGCTACATTTATTAAAATGTTTCTATTATTTACACATAGACCGGTTTCAAAATTTATCTTCTTTATTTATGAGAATCCTTTATTTACTAAGATTATTTTTAAATTGAATTTTATATGTACATTTTTCTAAAGAAACTTTACTAAATTGATTCAGGGTCTAGGTGTTTTGGAATAGCCTTTAGATTTTCATTACTTGCTCACTCATAACACGCGATAGAGGTTGATAGATACATTTAGAAATAGGCGATCAGTGTAACTGTGTCTTTGGTAACCTAATACAATTAAAAAAAAAATGGCCTTAACTACGAATAAACCATGAATCTGTGAGGAGAGATCATCAAAAATATTATTTCACATACATTAGAAACTGATGCTATTATTTGTTATTTAATTTTTAATAAACAAAATAGTTTAAAATAATACATGTTTGACAATTTTGTAACTGTTTGCGCAAGCTTTTCCCTTAGACCTAAGTTCGATAGTACGATGGAGATATTAACAAAAAAAAAAGCAATGGCAGTTACTATTTGAGAACAGTTAAGTACTTATCTTAATAACAAAAGACTGACCAGTAACCGGATCTTGTAAACGTTTTAAGAATATGTGAAAGTAACAAACACAAAGTGTGAAGATATTGTGAACTTATTATTGATGACTTATGTAAAGCACTTGAAGTCATGTAGTTTACTAATGTTAGAACTAAAATAAATTAGTAAGTATTTAATAGAAATATCTAAAATTTTATTATGGTTTGAAAATGGTATGCTAATCCCGCCTATGCTATGGCTGCCATCAAAGCCGATGGCCACTAACGGCACCAGAAGAGTCGCTGATGCGTTGCTATCTTTTAAATTATTATTTATATTTTTATATTATTTAGAATGGCAAACAAAGTGATAACCGTCACCTATAGACATGAACGACATAATGGGTGTCACAGAATATACTGTGATGCCCAAGGTACCCCTCATGCGTTACAATTGAGGACTATATTTTCATACCTTCGTGTCCTATAATCTCCCTGTCATATCCCATTCATTAAACCGAAATAATTTTTTTGAAATTATTGAAATACCTATAAAAAAAAAATATGATAACATAAATAATATCTATAATGACTTTAGATTTGTTGTAGAAAAAAAGAATAAGAACTTGTATCGTAAGAAAATTAATATCTATACTAATACTAGCTGACTCGGTAAACGTTGTTTTACCATATACATTATTTGTATACGGTAAAACAATTTCGTACTACAATTATTATATTCGATTGCCATCTTGCAACCCTTTTTCGGAATATAAAAATCGCGATCAAACAACAGGGGTTGATCGTAAAAGCGTGAACATTTTAATTTGTATGTATTTTTCAATGCTAAATCATAATAAAATAAAAAAAACATGTCAAAAAAATAATAAAAAATATTTTAGAGTTGGGTCATCCTTATCATTGAGGTGTATGAAAAATAGATGTTGGCCGATTCTCAGACCTACTCAATATGCACACAAAATTGCATAAAAATCGGTAAAGCCATTTCGGAGGAGTTTGGTAACAAACACCGTGACACGAGAATTTTATATATTAGATTATAAAAACGAAATCGATTTGATTTTATGTTTGTTTATAAAAGAAAAAATCAAATCCTTTTTTTCATTTTGACCATTTTAAAAATTACATCTATAAAAAGCTACATTATCAGCGGATAATGTAGGCTAAACATTATTTCTGCAAGTTCTATATACCTATACGAAGCCGGGTCAAATCGCTAGTGTTAAATAACCAACATAAACTCCTATAGAACGCAAAAATAATTTTCAAAGTCGACAAAACTGGCGAAATGCAATTCGCCAATTTTGAATTGATTTAATATACATAATTAATATACTCAACTACAATTGAAATGTTCTATAAAAAAAAACCACAAAATTAGTTATTTTGAATTAAAAAGTAAATAATTAAAATCGGTTTTGATAAAACTAATATAAGACCAATTTGTTAGTATATCGTTTAAGACAAAAAAAGAATTTTTCAAATCTTCTTAAAACTGACGGAGTTATGAGGTAACAAACATAAAGAAAAAAATACAATTAAATTGAGAAACTTCTTCGTTTTGAAGTCGGAAAAATAATAGACAGATAAATTAAAAAAAAAATCTTTTTAAAGTTTTTTAAAAACTGTTTTAAATACATATACGTCTATGTATTAAATAAAATAAAAATAAAAATTATAAAATTATTGCATTACTGAATATGAAATCGATTAATAATCGAAAATATATTTTTATGCAACTTAGAATGGCAAACAAGCTGACGGCCCACCTGATGAAATATGGTCACCGTCGCCTTTAGACATGAGCAGTACCATGGGCGTAACAGAGTATACTGTTACGCCCATGATACCCCCCATGCGTTGCCATTCCTGAGGACTCAGGTGTTATTCCTCTGTACCCTGTAAACTCACTGCCATACCTAGCCCTTCAAACTGAAACACAGCCATGCAAACACAACATTTTCATGTTCTGCCTCATGCTTCACAGCCATTTAATTATTTATTCGGAAGTATCCACTTCCTTTCCCGTGGATGTCGTAAGAGGCGACTAGTGGAACTTAATGGTTGAAGGACGAGTAATAACGTCCCTTTTAAAACATCGCCAAAGCCTAACTGTGATTGCCAATATGCCTGCCAAGCGTGGCAACTACTGGCAAAGCACCCCAAAGGTGAGGCTTTTATTCAGTGGACAGTTAGCTGATATGATGATAAAAAAATATCAGTTTTAAAAGCAATGTGTGATTTATATTTCAGGAATACATACCAGACTCGCTACTAAAGCAATACTGAAATTAACTGTCTTGGACCCCTAATAAACGGTAAATCAGAGACACTGATTGCAAATGTGTCTGTTGTAACGTCCTCTAACAAAATCTGAGAAAAAACATTGTGAAGTCTGAATAGAATTACTGAAAAACCTGAATTTTTGCAACTGAAATAAAACCACCAGAGATGATTTCCACTTGATCAGTTTACACAACAAGAATGCTCTATTTCGTATCTTAATATTTTTTTTTATACCACTGAGGTGGCAAACAAGCATACGGCCCACCTGATGGTAAGTGGTTACCGTAGCCTATGAACACCTGCAATACCAGAGGTATTACGCGTGCGTTGCCGACCGATAATAAAATTGTGTCTAAACGATGCCTGTACATGAGAAATATTTAAGGAAAAATAATATGTGGGGTCCTTCCTTTCTCATGGGTGCCATAAGAAGTAATTTATGGTGGAAGGAGTTTTTTATATGGATGATAATGGAATGATGATCTCACCCACGCTATCGGTATACACCGGCGGGGCACCAGTGAGGGATGATAAGTGAAAATAAAAGAGAAGATCAGTTAGCATATCGTGATGAATACACGTGGAATTCAGCACGATGGTTTCCAGGGGGGACCACGTGGAGGTCGACTTAATAGGGTATATTGCTAGCATTGGCTCTGGTAGTCCGCTAACTTAACTTACTAACAACACCCTCCCCCTATGTTGGAGGGATAGACAGCAGTGTCCTTCTTAAAACATCACTAAAAGCAAAACTTCAGTTGCCAATCCATCTGCTAAGCGTGGCAGCTAGTGGCAAAACCCTCTTATGAGGAAGGCTATGTTTACCAGTGGAGAATTAACTGCCGATACAACAATATGGGAGGTCTTAGTAAGACCAATAAAGGCCAAAATAATATTTTTTCGAAATTTTGTCTGTGTGTACCGGCATCATGCAAAGTTTATTGTACTAAATTGAATGCAGCATTCACAGTTATGTTTCTAAATGTTAGACATAGGGGGAAAGGGACTGTTAGCAATGGAGTTTGACAGCTCCATTGCTAGCAATATACCTTATTAGGTCGACCTCCTCGTGGTTCCCCCTGGAAACCATCGTGAACAATTCTTGTTGAATTCGTCACAATGGACTAACTGGCTTACTTCATCTTCACTTATAATCCTTCACTGATGCCCCGTCGATGTATACCGATAGTTTTTTTTATACAACTTAGAATGGCAAACAAGCTGACGGTCCACCTGATGGAAAATGGTAACCGTCGCCTATGAGCAGTACCATGGACATAACAAAGTATACTGTTTCGCCCATGATACTCCCCATGCGTTGCCATTCCTGAGGACTCAGATGTTATTCCTCTGTACCCTGTAAATTCACGCCATATCCCACCCTTCAAACCTAAACACAGCCATGCAAACACAACTGCATCACGGCTGAAACACGAATGGGACAGAGGTACCCAAGCAATCGACTTTTGTACAGTCTCCCTCTGGTAAATATATATTTAAGTATTAATTTGTTACATTATATAGTATATTCTATAGTTTATAATTATTACATATTCATATTGTAAAAAGTAAATAAATAAATAGTTTAATATTAAAATTTCAGATTTACTTCATTGGTTTTCTTACTTCTGAAACTTTTTTTTTTATTTAAGAGCTGTGCTCTTGTCGGTGGAGCTCTTGCCACTCACTACGATTTTCAGCAAGTCTCTTTACCTCTTGATACGACACGACACCAACTCCTTCCTTGATCTGCCTGATGTAACTATGTCTCGGTCTCCCTCTC